AGCAAGAAAGTAATTCCTTATAGCACTGTACGTGTTTCTAAGGTCTTTACCATTTAGATTATTACATTATCTCAGTTTTATATTCACTAGTCAGGACGTAAGTGCCAGCTGGAATCACTGAATCTCAATTTTGTTACACTTTCATTTTGTTTGATGAGCTTTTTACCAATTGTAATTTATTGCTCTGATGAAAGTATAAAGCAAAAACCTCAGAGTGTAATCAAGGCTAATGGTGAACCAAATACCATGTAATAATAAACCAGCAAGGAAAAAATATTCTGGAGACAAATGGAGATGTTTATCATTTCAGTATGAATACTATTAGAATAACTGTTTACGTAAAATAAAAAACTGTACGAGAAAACCAAACAAACACCCCATTCCCAAAAAAAATAAATATTCTCTTATAAAAACTAAAACCCAAAACTTCCAACAAGCAGCTAAATTTTGCAAGAAATAAAATCCTTTTTCTGCATTAGAGTATGTAACAATGAAAATTAATAAAAAAGTCTGAGATGCTAAAACATTTGATTTTTATAAACAGCAATGAACAGTGTCAGTCAGAGCCTGCAGTAATCCTGACACTTGATCTTTTAAAACTTATTACACCAGAGAAAATCCCTCAACTCTTCTATAAGGAAGCTTTCCGGAGTTACTGGAACGTTATTTTCTTTGGCAACTGGTATTTTTATTTTATAAATGGATGATATATGTGAAAAAAAAAAGAGAGAAAACCTCAAGAGTTTGCTTAAGGACAAAACCTACCTAAATCAGAAAAAAAATCTCATTCATATTAATTGCTTTTCTGAAAGGCCCTGAGACAAGCTAAAACATGTAATAGGTAACAGATACATTTAAATAGGAGTTTAATTTCTTTTTTTAATTATCACAAAGCCTGCATATTATGAGTCAATAAAAACGTTTAAGTGTATAAATTTTTCATCATTATATTAATAAATATTAAACAAGTGTTAGAGTAGATTTACAGTACCTTTGGATATTGTTTGACAGGGATCAGAACTCTCTCTGACAGCTTTATGTTTTTGTTGCTGATAACATCAAGATACTTCTTTTCTTCATCTTCCTTCTTGCCTTCTGAACCCTGAAATTTTTCCATTTCTGAAAAATATCACAAAACAGAACAATCAGTGGCATGGTATTTGTCATCCTTAGGAAGTTTAAACTCAGACATTCCTGTCCAGACCGTGCACTGAACGCCTGTGCTGTTTGCACTCACGGGACACAGACTGCTGAGCCTGGACACACACAGCACTGAGAGGCTGAGGTGACAGTCCACAGCTCACACTCCACAACTAATTCTTCCCCAGCTGAAAGGGAAGTCAAATGATCTCAGCAGGAGCAGGAATAGATAAGGCTTACAATTCCAGCTATCAGTCTTTTAAAGGGAATAACATCATCACAGCTTGATACCTTTTGTAAATGTGACCTGCCAGAACTAGGCTGGATTCTAACTGCAATGGCTAACTTTCAGTACAAATACCAGAAAAGTGAAGAAACTTCTTGCTGTTATTGAGTTTCCGTTCAATTACTCCTGAATTACAGGTTATACAAAATAAGATAAGAAAAAAGTTAACTCTTGCTCAAAAAAATTCTTCAATTAAGAAATGCAGTAAAAAATTGAAAATTGTTTTTTATATATATTTGCTAATCCATAGAACACCCTAGAATTTATAAAAAATCCAAAACAAAAAAAACCAGGTAAAATAGTTTTTAATTCTTTATTCCCTAAAGCTCTATAATCAATGGATAACAAGAAATAATTGAATTCATGGTCCTGCAAAGAACATCCTATATAGTGCTGGAGAGCTCCCTGCCAGCACAGGTACTATTGAAAAAGCTGCTTTTGCAGCAGTGACACTGTTGACAGCACAGAAAATGGCAATGCTTATAATGAGCTAATTATAACTGCATTATAGCTGAAAAGGGACAGCTGTGGGTCTCAGAAACAAGCTGCTTCAAGGACCAGAAAGCGACAGTGGAAAGGAGGTATACAGCCACAGCACACTCTAACATTCATATACAAGTTTCTTTGACTTCTAACAAGCATAAAGAAAAAATGTGTTGAAAAGAAAAGCCCATGTCATGATTTGTTAATAAATGTTTATGCTGCTTTTATGAGATCAATTAATTTATTTAAAGCCTGCACTAGCAGACAGTTATCTAATGTTGCAATCATAAGCTCTTCTAAAATCTCTCAGAGAACACACCTAAAAGACCTCAAATGGGATATACACTCAATAATTTAGGACTCAAAAGTTATTTACAATCACTAAAAGCATCAGAAGAACATTTCATTATCGTAATATACTTGAATACATGTAAAGAAAGGTGGTATGTTGCATTCAGTGGAAGATTAAACTGGAAAGCAGCAAGCATCAATTAAGTAAGTAAAACACTCATTTTGGGCAGGTTTAATAGACAAAAAGCTCTTTGAAAAATAGATCCAATGCAATTATACAAAGGGCTGGGCAATGGGAGTACAGAGGGGAGAAACAAAGGTGCATAAAGAAGGAAAAGTGTAACAAGCACGGTAAGTACTAAATGAAATTAAGGAATTTCCCAAATGTATTGTGAACGCAGTACTAAATTAGGTAATTCTAAAAGGCAGGTGGGGAAAGTCAATCTACGTGTTCTATACTAGAACCAGGGAAGTTTAAGTTGGAAAAGACCTTTAAGGTGATCAAGTCCAGCTGTTAACCGAGTTCTGCCAAGTCCACCACATCCCTAAGTGCCACATCTACACATCTTTTAAATACTTCCAGGGACAGTCATTTCACCATCTCCCTGGGTAATCCATCCCAATGCTTGATAGGTTTTTTTTTGTGAAGACATCGTTCCTGCTGTCCAACCTGAACCTTCCCCACACACTCCCCCATGCTATGTCTTCTCATCCTGTCACTACTTACTTGCCCAGGAGAAGAAACCAACCTTGATGACAACCTCCTTTCAGGTAGCTGAAGAGAGCAACGAGCTCCCCCTGAGCCTCCTTTTCTCCATGCTAAACAACCAAAACTCCCTGAGCTGCTCCTCATCAGATCTGTGCACCAGACCCTACTCCAGCCCTGTTGCCATTCTCTGGACACACTTCAGACCCTCAATTCTTTGCGAGGGGCCCAGAACTGGACACAGCACTCAAGGTGCAGCCTCAGCAGTGCTGAGTACAAGGGGGGACAATCCCTGCCCTGCTCCTGCTGGCCACACTACTGCTGATACAGGCCAGGATGCCACTGGCTTTATAAACAACTAAACTCTCTCCTGGAAAGCTGAAGATTCTTAAAAGTCTGTATAGTCAGTAGAGATGGGTACTAAAGGCTAGGACAAAATGCTCCCCTTTGAATTGTATATCAGGTCTTGCAACCAGTCCCAGTCTTGTGCTTTGTTTTTGACTGAGAGTACATGGAAGTTTTGGAATAAAAGTGGCATTTTTGCTGAAGTTAATGAAAGACTACTTCAGCTGGGCTTATCAGACTTATGTGAACAAGAGTCTGTTGATCTACCAAGACTGAGACAAGCTGTGGCACTTTAACTGTTTCACTCCACGATGAGGGCTGAGCTCTAAATCCAGAAAAGCCAGTCCCAGCTTAATATGGGAGGCACAAGAAACAGCAGTGGGGAGTTGAGCTTCCTCCAGGGAATGAAAGGCAACAGAGCCCATTTCATGGGAGATCCGTAGCACTTAAGGTCAAACAAAGAGAATCAAATGAGAAGGGATTATGATGAGGGCCAGGCTGTAAGCCCAGAACTACAGCAGAAGGCAGCAGGGACACTGGGGACATCAGGTTTCCCACCAGGGAGCAGTGCCAACTACCCCATGACCACAGCCAGACAGCTTTTGAGTATTATCTCCAAGGAGGGAGAGTCCACAAGCATCCTGACAGTGCTTGTTCACCCTAACAGTAATAAAAAAAAGTTCCCAAATATTCAGAAGGACGTTCTGGATTCTGGACACCCCTGAAAAGAGCCTGGCTCTGTCCTCTTTGTACCTTCCCTTCAGTAACTGGAATACAATGGAAAAGATCCCCTACGAAGTCTCCTCCAGATTGGACAGTCTGGAGGCAGCACTCTTAGCATTTTCCTTTTAGGAGAGATGCTCTAGACCCTTCATCTTCCTTGTGAACCCTTACTTGACACTCACTCTCCAGTATGTCCATCTCTACTTATGCTGTGGAGCCACACACTGGACAGACTGCTCCAGTGAAGTATCACCTCTTTTGACCTGCAAAGCTGACTGAGGAGTAAGAAGTGCCTTGGAATGGTTTATTTCTAAAACAGAACATAAGGCTGGATATGATCAGTGAAACCTGTGAATTTATATGAAAAATATGGCATTAGGATTTTGCTTGACAGTGGAGCAGTCATGTGAGATGAGCCATCTTGAAAGGCTTCATTCCTTAGGGCTGGAGTTTTGTGTCTTCTGGGTGTGGTCCCTGAAAGCCCCATGATGTCACCTGAGAGTCACTGTGACACGGGTGGCAACAAGACTTCTGGATGCCTGGGGAAGCCCTGAAAGGCTACAGTGTCTGGCCTCCTCCACTGGGGACAGACATCTGGAGGTGGGGGGGAGAAAGGACCCCCATCCCATTGTGTGCTTTCTGAGGGCACAGAGAAGATTTGCTGGACAAGGATACTGATAGGGCCTGGGGTGTTAGTCCCAATCTGCCATGCACTCAGGCTCTGGCTGGAGTTGCTGAGAGGCCAGGAATCCCTTTCCCAGCTTCCCAGCTTCTGCCTACACATATCAGAGAGGTCAGTTACCATCAGAGGTTACCATCCTGCCTCAAGAGTTAGAACATGCCAAGACACCCCAGTGTCACTCATTTGCCCCAGGATGGTCCGTGGCACTGGTGGCTGCCTAAGCATTGTCCTGAGGCAGAGTGGCCACTTCTTTAATGCTTGACTTCAGTAGCTTTGCTGCTGGCTGCAGACTGTGTCCCCAGCACGAGGGAACATCAGCTTATCTCTCTGGTTTGCAGGGCAAAATGGTATCAGAGGAAGACTTGGCAGAAAGTGGCACCTCTTCTCCTGCTACCAGCACCAGCCAGGTGTCCCGGGCTGCATGTCCAGGTACTTTGGAGAACTTAAGGTGTCCAATCTGCCAGGCTCCCATGAATGACCGAGCCTCCGTGAGCTGGCGTCGGCACCCTTTCTGTTTTTACTGCATGGTGGAGTGGTTCCACAGAAAAGTGGACGGCCTGGTACACCAGTCACTTTTCCAACATGCATTCCACACAGTGGGAGACAGTAACTCTGAGGTGCAGTCCATCAGGGAGTCCATCAGCTCTGCCAGCCATTCTCTAGGAGAGCAAGCTGAGTCCTGCTCTGCAGAAAGATGTCAGCATCATTCCTCAGGACACCAGCACTGTAAGTCTTACAGCAGATGCTGTGGTGGTAGCCGTGGTGGCAGCCGTGGTGGCAGCCGTGGTGGCAGCCGTGGTGGCAGCCGTGGCAGGGCCCAACAGAAGAGCCAAAGCAGGTGTCCAAGGAGGCATCACGATGGCCGTGCCAGGGTCAAGAAGACTCAGGGCTACAACCACTCAAGCAGCAGGAGACGACGGCAAAGCAGGGCTCAAAACACTGCTCATGACAAGGGCCAAGCTCCAAGGACTAGACGGCACGTCCGTGCCCTCTCAAGGAGGCGTAAGCGCCGTCAGCAAGAATACCAGGTTTCTTTCATAGAACCGAGGGCAAAAAGGAGCCGATCTCGGCAGAGGTCACACAGCTCTGCCAGCCAAACATTGAGGGAACATCTAAAGAAGATGGAACGTGATGAAGGACGAGCTCTAAAGCATGACTGGTACATCCGTGCCTCTTCAGGGAGGAGCAGGCGCCAACAGCAGCAGCACCGGGTTTCTTACAGAGAACCACAGGTGACAAGGAGTCGAACCCCACGGAGGGTCCGCAGCACGATGCCCCTGAGGAAGAATCCAAGGAGGATGGAATGCTACGAGAGACAGCCTTTAAGGATTGAACATACCTCCACAAGGAGGAGTGAGCACTTTCAGCAAGGAAGCCAAGTTTCTTTTGTCAAACCACAGGTGACAAGCCAATCCCGGGGGAGGTCCCGCAGCACACGGCACCAAACACAGCAGGAGAGTCAAAGGAGGATGGAATGTGATGAGGGACAAGCTCTAAGACCCGAAGGGGACATCCCAAGCTCCTCGGGGTGGAGTGAGCGCCATCAGCGGGGGCGCCGGATTTCTTTCACTGAACCATAGGTGGCAAGGAACCGATCCCCATGGAGGTCCTGCAGCCATGCTGGGCACAAGCCTGGCAGCTCACCCCACCAACAAGGGAAGTACTGTATGCCCTGTTACCAGTGTCAGGAATGATAATACTTTAGACAAAAACAGCCCCTACTCACAATTGCAAAAATAAAGTCAAATCCAATGCTCAAGCCTGGGGCCAAGGATTTATTCTCCATCACAAAATGCATCTGAAAATCTATAGACATCTTTGCAATGCCTTTTCAGGTTAGGAGGATAATTGGCATGAAACTTCAGTGCTGCTTTTGTTATTCTTTTCTCTGTACCCACTTGTGTATAAAAGGGGGTACAGATCATTTTGTATGGGGGTGCCTTTTCTCCCTATACTGGGTTTCCACAACTTTTTCTCTTTTTTGCCCTGGTACCAAAGACACCAATAACTTACTAGGATATCTCTTGTCCTTCCACACCTGTTTTCTTATGCTTTATCCCAAATATCCCCCAGAGTAACTTCTCCTTTTACCACTCTTCTCACAATGTAGCAATGAAGAATGAAGTCAATTCACAATTACTCAGTCTCAAAGGCTCTGCCTATAATGCCAATCGAAATCTAATGCCTGGTAGAAAGCCTGTGAAAAGCTTATTATCTTTCTCCTTCTTCAAAGACTTTAAAAATAACCCCCAAAGCCTTCATAGAAAAATTTGCCCCCATGCTACGCCGTGTACAAAGCCTCAGGTTTAATGCCCAGAGTGGCAGTACATGCTACAGGCTCTTCATACTGTGGCCAAAGACTATTAAAGTCATCAACAAACTGTGTGGTGCCAAGAACTCTTACTTTCAAGCAAGACTGGAGCAAAAAGAGGAGTCTTCTCAAAAGACAAAGGCAATACATTAAATACTGGAGCAAGACAAACTGTACTCAATTTTTGTATTGAAGTACAGTCAGCCTCTATGGTGTACACTCCTCATGTAACTCCATGACTAGTACCACCACAGAAAAGAAGCATTAAGACAGTCTTATGAAGTAATCCAGACCAGGATCAAGCTGCCAACTTGCTGGCTCACAGCACCAACATGCAGCTAGTTGTTTTAGTTGTAAATTTTGACTTGCCAACTGCAAAAAACTATGGTCACCTGCAACACACGCTACAAAAACAGAACCAATGCCTTTAGTGAGATGTAGCATTCATTGCACCCCTCATGCTTGAGTTCAGCTTGTTAACTTTCTGTGCAGTCACTGATAAACCCCCCAAAGGAAAAGAGGTGGCTGCCACATGGACAACTGACTTCTGGAAAAAAAACCTGGCTCCTCATGATCATATGGAATAATTCAAATTTTCCCATGTCATGAAATCTGGAGGGGCTTTCTTAGCTTGCATGTGTTTTGAGTCACAGAACCACAGAGAAGTGGAGGCAGGAAAGGGCCTCTAGAGGCCATCTAGTCCAACCTCTCCTGCTCAGACACTAAGAGATGGTGGCCACAGGCACACAGCTTTTGAGTACATTCCTGCATGTGTCAAAAAGGTTAGTCACCATCCTGCCCTGAGAGCTGGAACATGCCAGCACACTCCAGTGTCACTCATCTGCACCAGGATGGTCCCTGGCACTAGTGGTAGCACTGTCCCGAGACTGAGCAGGTAGTTCTTTAATGCTCGACTTTGGTAATTTGCTGCTGGCTGCAGACTGTGTGTTCCTAGTGCAGGGGAACATGAGCTGCTGCCTACAGAAAGCTATAGGCAGTGCAGGATTTTGTGACCAGCTGTATTAGGCCTGCATGGCCTGGTTTTGGAAGGGAAGGGAGCTACAGGGGTGGCTCCTGTGAGAAGCTGCCAGAAGCTTCCTCAGTTTCCAGCAGAGCCAATTCCCAGAGGCTCCAAAGATGGCCATGCCACTGGCCAAGGTGGGGCCAATTATAAATGGTGGCAATGCCTCTGTGATAACATGTTTAAGAAGTAACAAACCAAAAATCGTGGGGCAGTTGTAATTGCAGCCAGAGAAGAGTGCTGAAGATGTGAGAAGAAAAACTATGCAGACACCAAGTTCAGTGAAGAAGGAGAGGGAGAAGATGCCCCAGGCACCAGAGCCAAAAATCCTCTGCAGCCTGTGGTGAAGGTCATGGTGAAGCAGGCTGTCCCCCTGTAGCCTATGATGATCCATGGGGATGCAGAAATTCATGAACAGCCCACAAAGAAGACCCAAACCAGAGCAGGTGGATACTTGGGAGAAAACTGTGATCACATGGAAGACCCAAGCTGAGAGGGACCCATGCTGGAGTAGCCTGTCCTTCAAAGACTGCACTTCGTGGAAGAGTGACCCATGCAGGAGCAGTTTGAGGGACACTGTTGCCTGTGGGATGGACTCACATTGCAAGAGTTCACAAGGAACTGCTTCTTGTGAGATGGACTCATGCTGGAGAAGTTCAGGGAGAACTATCTCCCATGGGAGGGACCCATGGTGCAGCAGGGGAAGAACTCCTGTCCCTGAGCAGCAGGAAAAGCCACTGGTGATGAAGTGACCACAGGTCCCATTCCCTGTCTCCCTATGCATCTGGGGTAGGAGGCAGAGCTGGGAAGAGGGGGGAGCAGGGAGGAAGGTATTTTTAGAGTTTTATTTTACTTTTTATTATTCTGCTCTGATTTTGTTAGCAATAAATTCACTTTATATCTCTAAGTTGAGCCTGTTTTGTCTTCGATGGTAATTGATGGGTGTTTTTTCCCAGTCTTTTTCTCAACCCATGAACCCTTCATTAAATTTTCTCTCCTCTGTCCAGCTGCAGAGGGGAGTGAGTGAGTGAGTGGCTTTCCTGGGTGCCTGGCATCCAGTCAATCAACTGCACAAGTGGAAATAGAATGTCCATAATCAACAGCATTCCTCCAAAGAGTGCAAACTCAAGGATCTCAGTGGTACTTCTCCTGCACCACTGATCTTAGGTAAAAAGCGAAAATAAAGCATTTCAAAGAGACATTTCATATATTTTCCACTCATTTTTGCTCTGAATTAACCAAATTAAACCAGGTAGACATAGAGCTATTCAACTACCTCTTCCAGAATCAATCCTCAAACATGCCCCATTCTACCATTAACACAGTAATCTTGCACTTGCTTCTGTATAATGCACATCTCTCATCCCTCTTAATTGGAAGAAAAAATGTATATTTCAGTCATGCAAAAAGAGGCCCCCTCTAGACAAAAAGACATTTCTACCTATATCTTTTTTAGTGGTGATATTCTCTATGAAAAATTATCTTGAGATATCCCCAGACTTTGAACTGCAAAGTTCTGGAAATGCTGTCAGCCTGTTTATATGAATTTTTTTTTGAGGGGAGTAGCTTCTTTTTCCTTCATGGATTTATAAAATGGAAAACTAAGTTAGTAGCTCTTTTTCCATATTCAGTGATTTACTCTTACAGTGCCAATAAAATTATGTTAATTACATTTCTCTTCAAAGTCCTTGACACCTATTACAAAACTTCTCTAATGAATATATTTTTCTATTAAAATTAGGCATCCCAGAGTAAAAACATCATTTTGCTACACTTAAGAATCATGTCAAAACTCTTCAAAAAATAATGTTCTTCTTGTCAGTCTGTCCAACCCACCAAAAAAATTAAATCTACACAATCCTTTCTGCCGTCAACATTTGCCTCCCACTTGAAGGAATTCTGCAGCCTATCTGGCTTTTCTTGCCTTTGCATTTGCAGTACTGGCACAGCTTCAATCAAGAATCATAGGCTGCTGTTAACAATGTCAAGCCCTCTGAAGCAATCATGTTTCTATGAATGGGAATGACTTCCAGAATGGCAGTATCACCAACTTCTTGCATGCATGTACTATTATATACATCAAGCTTATCTAGCACTCAAAGAAGTACACTTTTTCTGCAGGCTAATGAGAATGTCTGAACTGCAAGAGGAAGAATAAGACAATGCCAGTAAAAAATAACAATCACTAAATCACTGACAGCCCTAATTTAGAGAGAGTATTTTTAATTTAAGGTTCATTTAAAAACTACACAGTTGCAACTCTAAATACCTAGAACGGTGTTAACAAAATATCCCAGCATATTTTTAGAAACAAAAAATACTGAAAACATACATGAAGGCTCATTTTCTGTCCAAGGCATTACATTTTAATTGAAAGCAGGGCTATTGAATTTTGAGTTGGGGAAAAAAAAAAACAGATGGCTCAATAGTTGAACAAATTAAAACGAAGCTAATTCATGACAAGGGAACCTCCTAAGAGGTTTCCAGTAACAAAAATTACATCCAAACCCCTAAGAATTGGTAATTTAAAAGTAAAAGCATTGAGTTTCTAACAGTAGTTGGGAGGGGTTATAAGGAAAAATTAGCCACTGGGTCACTATATTCACCCAGAAACACGTTCACGTATTGTATTAACAACATTCCTTTACTTTATGTACACATACTCATAAGAGCATCTTCACAGAGCTAGCTGGGATGATTCAGGGAGGAAAGGGAATAATTCTTATTACATCAGATACAAGTAAGGCAATACCTCTGCCAGTGAAGAATTTAATACCTGTTAGATAATTGTGGGTCAGTTCTACATGTTTATGTCATCTGTTATAGACAAATACAAACTGAAGCTTTGTATTAACTCAAACTGAATCACCTTGGCTCTCAAGCAAGGAAAGTGGCTAGTAAAATAATGCTCAGAAAGAATTCTGAAAGACAAGTCAAAAAGGAATGACAGAGACGTGCAAAATCAGGCACAGTACGAGAAGGAACAAAAATGGGTATTTAGTATTTCTCAGGAGGGGAAAGCATCTATTTATCATGTTACAGATTGAAAAAAATACTTTTATGTATAGGATGTAATTATACAGGGGAACTGCTGAAAGCATTCATATTGATAAAATCAAGTCTTCTACAGATTCTTCCCTTATGATTAGATTCCATCCCATAAAGCACTGAAGGTCTTTTCAAATTTGTGCACATCTGAAAATACAGCATCCATTAAAAGTTTAATTCATAATGCAGCTATTTTTTTA